GCTAGGCAAGGGCCTGCAATCCTGGCTGGGGACAAGAAGTTTCCTTCTCTTTCCTGTTACCTTTTCTGTATATTAATGGGCAAGAGACCCAGGTGTAAGACCCCTTCAAAAAGTGATGAAAGTGCAAAACTGACAGCGCTGGAGAAAACCTAGCATGGTGCAGGCAGTGCTGTGAAACTTTCATCAGACAGCTCTGCTCATGCATCTCAATCCTGACCTGCACACCTTCTACTACTGCTATTTTAATCCTAGGCTCACAGAGATTCCATCTCTGTCAAGTAGGATAAACACCAGTGTATCTATTTTTTTAAAGCCATCTGCGTGTTGGCCCATATCTTAGTCAAACAGAAGTGATGGTGTTACCTTGCAATAAACAATCAGAGGTTCACGCTGTTTCTGGTACAGCATGGTAGTCAGTGTCACAACATCACACTCCATTTTTTCACAGCCACTACACAACCCACATAGAGTTGGCACTGAGGTGTGGGGGAAGAAAGAGGGAGAGGGAAATGTACCCTAGAGAGCTTGTGATCCTTGTTCCAAGTTGTACATGCCAATTCTAATAAAAACCAAATGCACAACAAAATCAGCTCCATGTCAGAGAATGGCAATGAATTCCCATCAAGCAAACCTTATGATCAGGGTGGTAGTAACATTTTCTGGAGCAACAAAGAAAACTCAAAGGAAGGAATACTCCTACTGTTTCTCTACTGAAAGCTCTCGAAAGATAAATAAAACCCTAAACATCACTTCCCTCTTTAACAGAAAATACAGCGCAATAAAAAATATTAAAGTTCTCTTCTATTAAAAAGAAGAGAATAAATCTCTCCTGTCAGGCCTCATATTCAGCTTTTCCCCACCCTGTTTTTAATTCCTTTTCTTCCTTTAATTATACTTTAATTCTGAGTTTAGTGCTCACAAAACTAGAGGACAGATAGCGTCAGACAGAGCAGGACAAGAGCTGTACAACCTTCCCACACATATAGATCTAATCCAATGCTTTTCTTTCTAAACCTGCACTCAGCCTGCTATTCCAGTCTTGGGCACCCACATAGTTCTGCCACCAGGCTTCAATCCTGACCTGCAGCACCCCATTCTAATCCCCATCCTGAGCCCTGCAGCTCTGACAACGCACCTAAATCCTGACCTGCAGCACCCTTACTAATCCCAGTTCCCCTGGCCTCTGTTCAACTTTGCCAACGCACTGAAATCCTGACTTGCACCACACTATTATATTCCAATAGATTGAGTCTCCCTGAAGCACGCAGTGCTAACCGTGCCAGAATATTTGTGTTTTTTTTTCTTTGTCTTTGTATCCCCTAAATGGACAAACATTCCCTATTATGGGTCAAGCTTGCAACCAACCAACTCATTTTCACTTATGCTGACCCAGGACTGAAATCTAATGTCAGTCTCTAGAAGCAAAGGTCCAGTGCATTAAAACTAGTCTGTCCCCCCAACCCTTATTTCCCCTTCCCCACATTGTAAACAGTACCTTTGTAAAAGATAAATCTTCCTAAGTGAAGCATGCTGGGGGGTTAAATCTTCTAGTTGAGAAACACTCTCAAAATTCCTACTCATCTTTAATTACCCTTTAAAATAAAGGCTTGGTTCATTTTCCTGTAAGATCACATTGTCAAAAAATGCTTTTAACAAGACGAGGACAAATCTGCACAACATCCAGTTCTGGTGACACACACCTACCACATTCCATTGTCATCCTCTTTCTTCACAATATGGGAGGAAAATGACCAGCTATGTTAGTTAGGCTTTAAAGTTTCAACAAAGATTACAAGCTGTCTGCTTGTCACAGGCTGACAGGCCACTCCAAAGGTCTGACATTTATAGTTATGGTCTCTTCCAAACTCCACAGCCATCAAACTTTATAGAGCCTCACTTTTGAGATCTAAAGCTGAAGACATCTTTTTATATCTGCACTTAAAGGGAAAACACTCGCACCTTTATTTTCCTATTGCTGGAGGGTGACACAGGATAAATGGTGCAGAATCAAGAGACAAAGAGAGGCCAGGCATCAAAAGTAAAGTCATTCTGGGTAGCATGCAGCTGAATTTTATCATAGGAATCAGGGATGGGGGTAGGAAGCAGGATACATGCTCCTTAGTTATTGGGGGGGGGATCATAAACACACACAAACAACTTGAAGGGCTCACTTTAAATGACTCATGATCACCAGATTTGTTTGCCCCTAGGAAATTTTGGGAGCTGTAAGAAAAGGCTTAGGTAACTTAGTCTGACCATGGCAGCCTGATTTACAAAATTAAGATCAAGTATGAGAAGAACATGATTCAATTCCATGTTTGAATCAATAAGAAATCAGAGTCCATAATTAAAAGGTAGTTCTAGAGTTCAGTGGTTGCAATGATTACTACATTGGCCTTTTTTTATTCCCACAGTAAGAAGCTCCTATGCCCATAATTCGAACTGCACCTCTAGTTTTTCCGGATTATTGAATAGAATGAAATTGTAAGCAGGGATGTAATTTTCCCTGCCAACAAAACAAAACATCAGTAAGAATCAAATGAATCACAAAGCTGGAGTTAATAGCGGGGCAGCTTGCAAGTCACCCACTCAGTTGGGCTTCCTTGTCTCCCTTCCTCTCCCTCATCCGTGGCCTCCAAATCATCATTTTCAAAGGAATGCACCTTTGTTATTAATATTAATTCAAAACAGGCCCACTCTCTCCATTCAGAGTCTCCATACTGTGCGGGGGCCCAATCCCATGCTTCTTGCACACCCAAGTTTCCCATTGAGTTCAGTGGGTGTTTTGGGTGCACAAAGAATGCAGAATTGAGCCTTTGATTTGGAATATCTGCTCTATTGCTTTACGTCTCTTTAATTTGTAGTACTGCACATTCGTAAACATACTCTGAATGTTCTTAAGCCAGTGCTCCTATTTCACATTCCTGAATCCCTTTAAACAATGTTCTCCATTCAGTACTGAACCTTCCCCCTATCATTAACTGCAACTTCAAAATACATCTTTAAATACCAGACTCTGGACAAATTATAATTAGCCAAGATCAAATTATAAGTGTTGCAACTTTTTAGAACTGTAACAAACACTGAACTAGAAAAGAAAGGCACTCAGCCTATGAGACTAGCAAAATATTAGCTGCTGCACAGGGTAGCAACCATTGCCAATTATAAATATTTAACCAGACACAAATTGTCACCAATATAGTCTTTGCATATCTGTCCTTCAATTTAGCCTTAGATTTCAAAATTGTCTGACATACAAAAAATTCCATCTGTTGTTCTAAAGCTCTGCCAAAAAGCAGGTCTCAGATACACAGAACAGCTTAAAGATGGACCGGTGCTCTCACAGTAGATCATGCATGGGCCTGAGAGAGAATCCCTTTTCCTTTGGACCAGTAACTTAAGAGTCTGTTACACTTTTCTACAGCACATGATGCAAAAGGATTAAGAAGCACAAAAACCTGTGGTGTACCTACCTAATTAGATAGTGTACTGTCTCCTTCCCTTCCACCACAGAAAGGTCTCTTTAATATACACACAGAACATAACATACACAGCCATTAGCAATCAGATAGGCAAAAATGTCAATGATCCACTGGAAGAGGACTTTGACTCACCCTCCTGACACTAGAGGGTCAAAACTTCTACACTGTTTCTTACTGCAAAAGTAATCTGACCATCTGAAAGGTCCAAACTCTGGTCCCCTCTTTCCCCTGGAATTTGAGGCCTTCAGCAGTAAATACTGCAGCTAAAAAGGCAAAACTAATACTGCTCATTCATTCTCCAACTCCTTTCTAGTTTCATCTGAAGATATTTATTTTCTCCCTTGCCTAGACCTCTTAATTCTTCCCACTGTAATTATTTACCTTAGAGGAAAGCATCTGAGGTTGTGTAGTTCATATGAAAGATATTATACAAACAAGGGCCTTTGAGTAACATCTTATTCCAGGATTAGACATGGAACTAATCCTGAAGTAAGATGCTACTCAGCAAAAGTAAGGAGTGGCAGAGTCAGCTCCTAAAGTTGAACTGTATTTCTGCAAACGTGAGCATGCTCCTATTTCCCTTGCATGAGACCCATTTTACTACCTGTGCTCACCGTGGATCGCCTCAAGGGCTTCAATGAGACTATTGTCAACCTAGGCAAAGGTGGAAGAACAGGGCCCATAGTTTGAGGGGTTGGAAATGCACTGGCAGGCCCTATTCCCACTTCTTTACTCACGGTCTTACAAGTAACTGACGGGCTGAACAAACATTTTTTTAAACCCCCTTTTAGAGGTATTTAATGGTGTCATTCTTTCTCTGTGCCACCATTTAACATCCATGTCCAATTTGCCTTCCTCTTCTACCAACAGTTTCCAACTTCATACAAACAACAATCAAAGAAAAAAAACCCACTTCTCAAATGCTACAGACCGAATCCAAAGTAACCTCCTGCCTGGGGCTACCCTTGAGTGTGAAGCATTTTCACTTGTGCAAAATTAATCAACGAGGTAACCAAAAGTACGGGAAGAGTTCGTGAATAACCCTCTTCCCCCCTCTGGCCGGACTGAAATAGCTTGGTTTCTTCCAGCTCCCCCTAAATCACTAGTTAGGGAGCAGTGGGAAACCAGCCCGGTGCAGATGTGGAATAATTTGCTCCAGTTTCCTCTCCAAATAGAATGGGAACGTTTCTCGGTTTTCAATGACTTAAAAACGGCTCAGCCTCGGAAGCCGCCACGGGGCCAGCAAAGCAGCGATTTTCCTGACGGCGAGCCTGTTATTAAAGCCCAGCTCGCATTCCTGCCGCCGCGGAACAGCGCGGACCCAGTCGGAGGCAGAAGGGAACAAACGTGCGGCGCTTCAGAAGCCGAGAGCGAGGGCAAACTTTGGAGGGGCTCCGGGGGGCTGCCTCCCCTGTGGGCGCCCAGCCCGACCCCCGCGGAGACAGAAGGCCGGCGGTGGCCGGGCGGAGAGGCGCCGCGGCTCGTTCATACCAACATCTTGTTGATTCGGTTCCTTACCTGCTCCGCAGCGCCCGAAGTTGCAGTGCAGCATCAGAGCCAGGAGCAGCACCCCGGGCGCGGAGACGGCCCGGCTCCGAGCTGAAGGCATCGCTCCCCGGCTGAGCGTCTGTGTCCGTCCCCTCGGGGCTGGCTCCCAGGCTCCTTCCTTCTCCTCGGCTGCCTGCTTCGCCCCGAGCCCCCCAGCTCCCCGGCACTTCCCCGGCCCGGGATCGCCTCCTCTCGGCGCGCTTGGGGGACGCGGGTCTCGGCAAGGCGAGGGAGGCGAGCCCGGGGAAGGGTCCCGCCCCTGCCGCTGGATCCCGCCGGTGCCAGGCTGGGCAGCTCCCCTCCCAAGTTGGGTGCCAAGGAGAGCGTGTCAGAGGAGCGGCCGCTGGGTGCGCATCACTGCAGGCTCCTCCTGCCGCCGCCGCCTCCCTGCCCGGGCGCTGCGCCTAGCACGGCACTTGCATCCTGCCCCCAGCCCGGCTCCTGCCACACTGCCAAGGTGTCCCGCACGCCGGAGCCCAGGCGCAGGGGGGCGGCGGTGGGCCACGAGGGGGAGCCGACAGCCGCAGCAGCGGCGTGGGCAGGGCGCAGGGGGGCGGCAGGGAGTTCGGCACGGCCCACGCCGCTCCGGCAGCAACGCGCAGCGGAAAACCCGGCTGGCTGGATCCGCAGTGAAAGCCGGAGCTGGAGCCGCTCGGCACTTCCCTCCAGTCCGCTTGGAACCTCTTCGCCCGTCAATTTCTTTTCTGCCTCCCCCTTTTCCCTTTCCTCAATGGCCCACATCTTCCCCCCTCATGCCGCGTCCCTCAAGCCCCCCCTTCCCCTCAGCTCGCTCTGGGCTTTATACATTATTACATGCAGTGAGCTTCTAGCGCCTCTGCCCCGCCATACATTGTGGGTCTAGCTAGCCATGGGGTCGGCAGCCTTTCAGAAGTGCTGTGCCGAGTCTTCATTTATTCACTCTGATTTAAGGTTTCGCCTGCCAGTAACATTTTAACGTTTTTAGAAGGGCTCTTTCTATAAGTCTATAATATATAACTAAACCATTATTGTATGTAAACTAAATAAGGTTTTTTAAATGTTTAAGACGCTTCATATAAAATTAGATTAAAATGAAGGGCCCCCAGGCCGGTGGCTAGGACCCAGGCAGTGTGAGTGCCACTGAAAATCAGCTCCCGAGCCGCCTTTGACATGCGTGCCATAGGTTGCCTATCCCTGAACACACCACCTCCCTTGTGCTTGGATTTGGTGGTGGTTACTGTACAAACATACTCCAGAGTTGCTCTTTCCTCGGATGTGCCAGGTGGAGCCGGACAGAACATCACACCTGAAAAACCCTTAAGAACACTTTTATTTCTCTCTTCCTTTATCCTCCTATCAGTCACTTAATGTGTCCCTCGCGCATTCTGTGATGTTTTCCAATGCTTCCTGCCCCCTTCCTTTTCTTTGGTCAATACTTCATTTTCCATTTGATTTTTTCCTAATTAAAAAACCAGTCCAGCTGTTTCCAAAACAATCCTCAGTTCCTACTGGCCTTTCCCTCCTGCTGCTTTCACATGCACTGTATCTATGGAGTATGGGGGAGAAGGGGGTTGTAGTGGGTGAGTATAGCACCAGTACGTGACATAAATTCTTTGTCTGGAGGAGGAGACGTCCAACTGAGATAAGGAGAAACAAGGGAGGAAACATTGGGGGAGGGTGGGGAAGCTAACGTGATCTGTCAATTTTAGGTGCCCTTCCTATGGTCCCGAACAAATTTCCCTTGAAATGAAATTTAGGAGCAGAAGGGAGGAGATCCTGAAAGGGATTGGCCTTCATGGTCTCCCTTCCTTTTCTTGTAGGTCTGATGAGCCCTGAAACAAGCTGTACGGTGTTTTAGATTTAAAACTTTAAAAAAAAAGTCACTGGGTTTTCAAAGTATTAGGAGGCACTCTTAGCTTGCCTGATTTATTTTTATTTTATTTTATTTGGTCTGCAACAGATCAAAGTAAAATAGATTAACAGTGGAGAAATCCATAGCAGAGAAATTCTAACCACCTTTCCCCCCTCAAAAAAAAATCTGAAAAGGATAAGAAAAGGACAATTAGGGTGAGTTGATGGGCTGCTTGCGCTCTGCTGATCGCTTTATGTGACCTTATTCGTGCCCAGAGTGGAATTATTGCCTTCTGTGAAGGGGATTTGGGGGGGAGGTAGCAGAATTGGCCGGAATAAGCATCCACACCGTGCTGTTCTGAACCTTCGTTAGAAGCTTCCGAGGTATCTGTTACGTTTAATTCTTCCAGTTCCCTAGGCAGAGAGAGTGTAGCAGGTCTGGTGCTTCTCCTACTGTTTATTGCTTAGGGGGAAAGGGATCTGGATCTCTATCCAAGCAAAGCCTCTTCTGTTTGATTAAAAGGGGGCGGTGGAGGGGACGCTTCTTTCGTTTGTCTCCTCTTGGCATCTACTGTATTTCTCTTTCACAACTTTCCTGAACTGGATCATCCTGGAATACAAGGAGACTGGTGAGCAGGTTCCCTTTCCCCTCCCTTACCTACCACCATCTCTCTGAGAGACCCCCAAAGTAGGGGGCCGGCGAAAGGACAGGAGTTGGCCTGATTCTTCAATTTTCAGCATTGTAGTAAGTGGCAGGAGAATCAGGGCCACTCTCTATACATTCCCCAGACACCCTGGCCGGCCTCCCGCTCCTCCAGATTAGATAGCCACGTTTCCCTTTGGCCTGAACAATTCTACAGGGCAGGGAAGGTGCCTGAGTTATCAGCGATCTGATGCCTGCCCTTGATGTCGTTCTAGTGCAGAATGAAGTGATTGCGCTGGCGCCATGCAGGGCGGGTTAGGACCGAAAAAGCTCGACAATTACTTGCAACTTGTACAGTTTCATTCACCTCCACCGACCCAGACCAATGGGTTCTCTAGAGCTCGCGCCAACACAAGTGCCTGCGCCAGATCAGGGACACGAGTCTGCAGGTTGCTTGGGGGCGAATATCTTTAGTTGCATGTTGGTTCAGGGGGAGTTTAGCAGAAAGGGAGAGTGTAAAAATACACCCCACGCAAGCAATCATTTGGGGGAAGAGAAACAATAACTACATTTATCCTCCTAATACCTGACTCCTCTTCCCCTGCCCCTCCCCTCAATGCAATTCCACACTTGCTCGGAACATATTTCCTCCCACAGCTTTGTGAAGAGTTACAACAGAGGGGCACTCCTACAGCAGGCAGCAATTACAGCGAACCGTCCTGGGGGGTCCCCGGTCAGGTTTCACTCCTTTGGAGGACGCGGCGAGCGATGTACCTGGCTCTTTTTCTTTATTGACTTTTGAAAGTACTCCACAGAACCGCGCAGCCTGGGCTTGCCAGCCGGAAACTAAGGGGAAAGATCTGACCGGTCAAACTTTCCAGGGAGAAGTGGAGCACTCCGCTGCATGTTGTGGGTGTGCCGTTTTCTCAAACAAGAAACCTTCGCGGTGGTTTAATACAGCCCATGCATTTTTGTCCTGATTTCGAAATAAATAATAATAATTAATAATCTCGACATATTTATTGCAGAGACATGTTTTCCCCCATTGTTTTGAACTTACCCCCCTATTCATCCCCTCCAAATCCTTAAAGCAACTAACTTGGTTCCGTATGTTTCACTGACTCTGGCGGTATCCTTACAACATGCCAGCGGGACTGTGAAGTGGATCGGGTTTTTAAATGCTGTGTGAGAAGAGGCAGCCCCCCCCCCCACGCCAAACACGCAGACAAGCCGGGTGGATCCCCTTCATAATTTGATGCGGAGTGAAAAGCTAATGGGATATTACTGCGGACCTTATTGAAGGGGTGATTTAGCGTCAGCTAACGCTAATGGCAAGTTTTGGCTTGTAATTTTAAAGCTTTGCGCTGTTGCAAAATCAAATGAAGAGAAAGCAGCTCTCAGTTTCCACTGGGTTTTTCCTGACACAGTTATTAATGAAACACAGAAAACAATGATGGACCTCAAGGATCAATGGAGTATCTGGTGCCAGCAGTTCTGTTGTTTCTCTGCGCTGCACCATTTCAGTTTGGGCTGGTCTCAGCTAAAAGACATGGCAGATGTTTATTTAAGTAAGAACCTCAAAAACAGTAAGAACAGCTTGATTAAAAACTCCCCTTCCTACTGCTGTTCTGCAATAGTAAAAAATCAGCACCAGGGGGAGCTCTGCAACTTTAACCACTCCAGTGTATTCTCCGGATAGAGGGGAAGTCACTGCTTTAAGGCTCCCATCCAGTCCCTAGATCTGTTGTATATGCATCCGAAGAAGTGGGTTGTAGCCCACGAAAGCTTATGCTCTAATAAATTTGTTAGTCTCTAAGGTGCCATAAGTACTCCTGTTCTTTTTGCGGATACAGACTAACACGGCTGCTACTCTGAAACCTGTTGTATATGGTTTCTCCCAATCTC